ATCGCAAAAAAAATAATAAATATAATATAATAGGCAAGAAAATCCAAAATTCAATGCATATAGGATTTTTTTGGGTATTTTTTTTATAACATAAATACGGCTTTTCTTTAACTTGTTGAATCATTGACCATTGAAAATTTCGAAACTCGCTAGAGAGATTATAACTCCCAAGAATCTACTAAAAAAGCACATAAGTATAGATCCTTTTTTTCTTCTATGATCCTTTTTTCGGCTTCGACTTCTCTTTTTTCATCTTTTGCTTGCTCTAACTCGGAGTACATCATCATGTTTATATCCTTTATTCTATCCAACTCCGAGATCTGCTTCATATTCATTTCTTCAAGCCAGTTTATTCTGGCATCTTTTGCCTGCCATTCAACCCAATTTTGAATTTTAGCTTTGATAGTTAATGTACGGTAAATGCAACAAGACATCGACCATATTGTGTACTTATATTCTTTTTAGAAGTATCTTTGAAATCAATCTTATTAATTGAATCTTCTTATGAATAAAGAATCTTTGCTCGTTTCTTGACATCATAATATTCAGGGTTGATATCTATATATGTAAATATATGTATATAAGTTAGATTCTCTCAGAAATATTGCAAAAACTAAGATGATTTATTACCTTCTTCACGATTAACGTTAGAAGATGGAACAGATGATGATGAATGCAAATTATTATTCACTTGATTCATTTTCGAATCTGCTGACTCTAATATTGACCTATCATCCATACTTTTTCCAGAATACACAATGTTGGTAGTATTACTTCTACCATCATCTTCAAGTGATACATTTGTTAAATCTTTTCGCTTGATTTCATTATATATAATATGTTAGTTATCTGTACAATTTAATTTGATTTACAAAACTATACATGAACTAGACTCACCCTTTTGGTTGATGTTATTTCTTCTACTCTGTCAATTTGATGCTTAGATTTCCGTGAATCTAACAGGTAGCTGGAGTACATCATCTTCTCTTTCCTTACATCTTCATTTAGTGATGTATGATATTCGTGCTATGCAAATAATTCATATCATAATTAGAACAAACTACCAGAAAGTTAATTTCATATTCTGACTCACCTCTGTAGTTTCTTCATTTTTTGCTAATTCATTAAGGTTAACTAACCAATTGTTTTTTATTTTTGTATCAAGCTCAAAAAGGAATATGAATATAAAATGAAAAGCAAGATAAAGATAAGATTAATAAACGGTCTCAATAAAATATATACATATTTTAACTATCGATCATGCGACGAGAAAACCCAGAGTGGCGCGAGGGCACTCCATATAGTATTGATACTTTGTTTTGAACAGAGTACAATAGTAGCAACACATCAAGGAAACCCAAAGTGGTGCAAGAGCACTTCGTATAGTATTGATCTGGCTGAAAGCCAAGCTGTGCTGGTAGCAGGTTATGCTCATTTACATACAAATATATTAACCTTGAACGATCTCTTTAATAAAATTGCCTTTGAACGCTTTAAAGAATAATAATTTTGTTTAATAAAATCTAAACATTTTTTGTACTTATAATTATAGACTTTTATAGAATCAAACGGAAGAAATAGTACTCCGCAAAATGAATCCACCAGGGCGACCACGAGTTTTTCGGGTCACATGATGATCAGCAACAAATTTAGCCAATAGAAAATCAAAATTTAGTACAATATAACACGATCAGGAAAATTCAAAACAAACGTTTGTTTTGACAAAAAACCAAGAATTCACATAAAAAAACCACCCTTTATGTTCTAATAAAAAAATTTTCTTAACTAATTTTACTATATATTTTTAATTTCCAAACCCTAAATCTAACACTAACTCTAATCTTAACAAATTTAAGAAATTCGTATTTGTTTTGTCTATCATTACGTGACTCGAAAAATTCATGGTCACCTTGGCGGATTCTTGCAAAATCAAATCAAAATTTGAATTTGTATCAAATACTTGATCAAATTTTTTAAAAATTTGATCAAATATTTGATTCAAATTCAAATTTTGATTTGATTTTGCGGAGTACTAAGAAGAAACCCAACCCCTAGATTAGGGCTAGCACATATCTGCGATAGCATAATATGCACATAAATCCGATTTTTATCACATAGCATATGCGATTGTGAATTTCGCAAATTAGGACTATTTTTATATAATTAATAGAACATTGGGGTGTTAGATACCAAATGATTGATGAAATTAATAAGACTCTTTCTGTCAATCACTTACACAAAACTTAACTAAAAATTTGTCAGTTAAAAATCTTTAATAACACATTAATTTA